TCTATACCCGTTTTTCTCCATCCTTGAACAGGCATAGGTTGACCCATTTGGTAATGAGTTAGGTGGGTATGAGCAGGTTTGTAGGTTTATAGGTATATTGCACACCCCTATATTAAACACATGTCACTTCATCTCTCATCCATTGCGTCTTCCTCCTGTCTTCTCTTCTTTGCATGAGGGGTTTGTATTGGAGAGTGAGGGAGAGTTGGGACTTAGGACTCAAGCTCCATAATAAAAAAATTTTGGGTGTGAATTGAAATTTTTTCAACATTATATAAGTTTTTTGAATATTTTTTAATTAAATATCTTCTTTGGTTTTTAATTTCTTGATGATGGAAAGCCTAGAGTTTAATAAATGATTGAAATTTTGAGTTTTTGGTATTTTAATAAATTATTTAGTTTTTAACGGAGCTAATGATGTTAGAATAAGAGTTTGTATGATGTTGATTATGCCAAATTAATTGATTTGAAGAATTAAAGGTAGGGTTCAGTTGAAAATTTGTGATTTATGTGTATGGTAGTGATATATTTTAAATTTAACGGTTTATTTTGGATTAATGGAGGTTATGCTGGTGATTATATGGATTAGTTTTGATGTTTATTATTGAATGTGAATATTAGTGATCCTTGTAGGAGTTGTAAATGCTGGAATTTTGAGATAAAGGATGACTTGAGAGAATTATCATTGTTTAATAGCTCTAATGAGTGAAATGAGGTTCTTAAATTATAATAATGTAATTGAGATTGAGAAATTTATTTATGATAGTGAATTAGAATTTTTAAAGAAAATAAAGTTAAGAAAATTAGGGTTCTTTGTGATGATTAGAGTTAAATATGATAACACACATAAGAGGGGGTGAATTGGGTTTTAATCAAATTTTCAATATTTTAAAACTTTTTCCCAATAAAATAGGGTATAAGAGTAAGTTTGAGCAAATATAAGTTTAAAACTATAATTGCAAGAATACTAATGTAATTTCTGCAAGCTTAATATATGCAAGAATGTTTAAGAATAATTTCTAAGTGAGACTTCGAGTAAGAGCATGTAAATATAACTAATTCAATTTTACACACTAAAACAGAGTACAAAATAAGATTGTTGAAAATATAAAGAGTTGAGGGAAGAGAGAATAAAATTATGATTATCCTGATTCAACTTTAATTACTTGAACCTACATCCAGTCCCCAAGCAAATCACTTAAAATTTCTCCACTATAATCTATGAGTTTAAATTAGGCACTTGTGAGCCATTACAATATTCTGGAACTTGTGAGCTCTTACAATTACTCACAACACTAGTGAGCTTTTCTCCCAAGATAATAACCTCTCTTGATTACAATAAAAATCTCTCCCTCACTTTTACAATGTGTATGAAGATAAGTTACTCTCATATAAAACTCTCTCTACGAGCATAATGAGTACAATTTGGCTTAAAGAACAATTATCTTCATAAAGTACAAGCAATATGAACATGAATTCATAACTTAATGGTTTTTGAGCTTAATCTCTTGTCAAAACAAGTTTAAAGTGTTATATTTGTAGCTCATTGAGTGAAATAATTATTGGAGATATAATATGGCCATTTATAGTTATTGAAGATGTGTAGGAGTGAAGCAAAGGTGAAAAAGCCCTTCTTCTATGAAATGCTTTAAATGCAATGTCAAAAGTTAATTCAAGCATAGATTAGCCTAATTCAAATGTGGATTAGCCGCTTGGTTCACTTTTGGCAAATTCAGTGAGTGCTCTTTCTAGTTCATACTTGAATTGGATTTGGATAAAATAGCTTGATTTACTTATGTCTAATTCAAACATGTGCTCTTTCTAGTTAAAGCTTGAAATGGATTACAGAAGGCTTGGGTTCTCATTCAAGCGTGGATCACACAAGTCACATGTGTGGGTTAGATGAAGGCATAACTCAAGCTAATCATACTATGATTGATTCAAGCATACATCACCATGTACTCAATTGTGAATTAGATCACAGAAGCTATTTAGTGAAAAACAAAGCTTATGGAGGCTAATTCAAGCGTATTGGTTATAATGCAATCTTGAAGTGGACTCACTTAGGCTGAAACATGTATATAGACATTCTCATTCATGCATGTATAAGAGGCATTATACATAATAGAACTTTTGAAGGCTATTACTAACTCAATACAACTAAAAATCTATCAAATTATATATCATTGGAAATATCGTTACATCTAGTTTTTAGTGAAAAAAAGTTTCACATTAAATTTAATGTACTTTGTGAGATAGGAGCAAAAAGAGTGACTAAAGGTTAAAATTGAACACAGTGCATAATCAAATATCTCATTACTCAATTTCTAAAAATCATATATTTTTTACTAGAACTTTATTTTGAATAAATTAACTATCATTAAAAATTTGTTGAAGTTTATTTTCAAATGAGATATGTTTCACATTAAAATAATTGGTATATTGAGAGATATGACTAAAAACATGAGTAAAGGTTAAATTTGATTTTCTGCAGAATTTACATTTCAAAGCTTAAACTTTAAATATTCATAACTTTTTCAACTTAATTTCATTTTGAGTAAATAAAATATCTTTGAAAATCTTATGAAGTTAGTGATAAAAAAATTTCATAGTTTGTGAGATATAGACAACCAAAGATGAATTAGTTTAACAATAAGATTTCTAGTATAAGAATATCATCCTTTCAAGTCCACGACTATGATACATCTAAGCTTGTATAAATGATTTCATTCTTCTTAAACTCTTCTTGGATCATTCTCTCTTCATGCTCTTCCATCTTGAGTATAGCATGTTAATGATGACTTCAGTTTCTTCCTCTTCATACTCACTTTTATTTCTACTTTGAACAACCTTTAATACTATAATATGAAAAAAGTGGTTATTAGTCCAAATATCAATATGTATATTATAATGATCCAAAATTTTGAATTAAATAAATTTCTTCTCAATTAATATTTAATTTAATTATTTTAATTTTAGGACAAATGAGGAGAAGTGGCCAAATAGAATTTATACCAATTACTTATATAGAGATCTAGAATTCAAATTTTATTTAAGTCAAAGGTTAGTTTATGTTCTTTTTATGGAGAAGTACTAAAGTACCCTTGCCTCGTATTATAAAAATATGATGATGATAATAATAATTAAATCTGGTGGGGTCTTTTCTTGTAATTTTTCCCACCAACTTTTATATCTCATATTCTTCTTTCTTGCTTGTCAGTGAAAACAGAGAAGAGAGTGAGTGAGAGAGAGGCGTGGATTCTGTATCTTTCCTTTCTTTCCCGTCGCCTTGGTTCAGTCTCGACCGGATGTGTGTTTGTTTCCCGCCTGCCAGAAAATTCATCCTTTCCTTGTCTCCCCACTCCCTACCTTGACTGGAAACTTATAAACTAATAAGGGAGAATGATAATTAAGGACCTGCTAAGAACATTAATTTTAATTACGGATCGTGAAATTTTGAAATCTGAGTTAAGGACCATGGTCCTTAATTGTGATAAAAAAATGAAATTTGTGAGGTGGGATTCATTATTGCCATTTGGAAATTCACTAACCCAACTTGAGAAAATTTGTAACGTATATTGTGAAAATATGAAACCCCACTTGGAAATGGAATGTTTAAAAAAGTACCATTTGGAAATTCACTAACTAGACTTAGAAAAATTTCTAACGTATATTATGAAACATGAAACTTCACTTGGGAATCGATTGTTTAATAAAAAACACCAATTTGGATAAGTCACTTTTTATTAATGATTCTCAAGTGGGGTTTCATTTTTTCACAATATACGTTAGAAATTTTTTCAAGTCTAGTTAGTGAATTCTCAAGTGACGCCTTTTATTAAACATTCTATTTTCAAGTGGGGTTTCATGTTTTCACAATATACGTTAGTAATTTTCTCAAGTTGGGTTAGTGAATTCCCAAGTCGCGTTAGTGAATCCCACCTCACAAATTTTATTTTTTTATCACAATTAAGGACCATGGTCCTTAACTCGAATTTTAAAATTTTACAGTTTGTAATTGAAATTAATATTTTTAACAGGTCCTTAATTGTCATTCTCCCAACTAATAAACATAATTAATACGACAAAGAATCCCAATTCAGAAAACGCTGAACAATAGAAAAAGGGCAGAGAAGAGATTCGACTCCCTGATTAATAAAGTCACTCTCGAAAATTTGCACTACCTCCTAAGCTGCAGGTAGGAAACTGGACACTTTTCATTAATGGCCTCAACAGATAAGTTGTTGTGGCCCAAATTAGAGAAACTCTGTCTAGTTTACATCTCTAGCTTCTAAATTATTAAAATATAAATGTTAGGGCATTTCTGTGTGAAACACGTGTCTTAGCTTGATGTTCGCCTGATACTGGGGGGTCTCAGTTTGCATAAACACTAATCAACCTTGTTCATCCATCTTCACATCCGTGGGTGGGTGAATGACCAGCCTTTAATGTAAGCAGAAGCGATTTGCCTTTCTTGTGTGCGCCGCTGTCTTCTGACAAAGTGCATCTAGGTTCAGGAAGGTACTTAGCTCTAGCGGTTAAGGTCTTCATATTTTTAGCCCATTTTTAACCTTTTTACATCATTATTCTTTTTTTTTTTAACAAACTTTTTACATCATTATTCTAAAATGAAGTAAAAATGTGAAATTGTGAGTAAATATGTCTTAACTTTTTTTTCCATATTTTCACGCCATAAATATCCATTTTAGAAGCCATAATTAACATATATATTAAGTATAAGTAGGCTTATCAAAATGTTTTAAGAAAGTGCATTTAATAAGGGTAAATTGAAAAATAATAATAAAGTAACTATCTTTTCTTAATTTCAGTGAAGTAGTTAAAAATAACTTATACGTAGGATTGGATGAAATAGTTCAACCATAGATGAAGAGGGGTCAAAGTGAAGTTAAATATAAATTTAATGGAGTACCTAACTTTAACTTTTGAAGCTCATATATGCTAGATTATTCGTGGCTCAGCTGATGGGATCTCATGATCTTAGCCACACAATTCACCTGTTTTAAACATGAAAAAGTACAACTATGAAAACATCAACCAAAATGACAACATGACACGACCCTACGCAACACATACCAAAACATAAAAAGTTACAGCATAATAGTGCCACATGATATCTAAGGACCTAAGAGAGAGGTAGACCAAACTTGCAAAATATCCCCAATCTCCCTGCAAGGTTTTGTCAAGCATGACTGCAAGAGGAGGCTATCGACACCAACCATGAACTGGTTAAAGAAAGGTGATTGAAGAAATTTGCACAAAGCTCCATCCTAGAACATTTATAGAGGGAATTCTTGCAAAATGGTTTGACTGAGTTCTCTTCAGTCCAAGAACATGTGGCTTATTAACAGAACTCATATCCAAATAGCACACATAATGCAAAACCTGGAGAAAACATAAAGTCAACAATGCTAATAATACAAATTACATTAAGAAGTAGAAAATAAATATCATCAATAGAAATTTGTATTCCAATATTCATACCATGATATAAGTGTATCCTCAGCTTCTTCAAGATCTTGGTCTCGGTTGTCATGTTCTTGATCGTGATGATTATGTTCATCAAGCCCATGATTGTTACGAGGCAATATTGGCCTAAGAGAGGGCCAATGGTCAATGATTTTCTTCACGCCATCAATTATATAGTCTTTAGTTGAACCTGGGGCATAATTGATAAGTGCATATTGGTCTCCTTTAAAAATGTAAGCTTCATCTGTCCTGTGAGATGCAAAAGCCGCTTCTATTCCACTTTCAAAGATAGTTCCTTTTAAACTATAAAAGCCTTGGTTAATGTGACGAATGGCAAATTGGGTCTTGGAATTATAGTTTATAAGAGCATACTGGTCGCCTTTGAATAAGTAAGCTTCATTAGTTGCAGTTGCCCTAAATGCAGCATCTATGCCATTCTCAAAAACCGTACCCTTGAAGAAGGGAAACATGGCGTGATTATCATTGGACCTTGGAGTATTTTGTCATTTGTGGATCCCGGAGCATAGTCTATGTAGGCACAAAGTTTCCCCGAGAAGGTGAAAGCTTCAGTGCCATCGGTATCAAATGCACAATCTATGCCATATTCTCCAAATGCTGTGCCAACAAGAGATCGATAGCCATCACAAATAAAAAGTGGACCATTGATAATCTTGTCATTTGTTGATCTTGGAGCATAATTCACTAGCACATACTCATGTTTCATGAATAAATAGGCTTCATTGTTCCTGTGAGCACGGAATGCAGCATTTATGTAGCTCTTTATATCTTCCACTTGATTTGCATACCAATCATATACGTCGACATCCGAGACTTGTCTTTTCTCTCTTATATGTTTTAATGTGGTTGGATAAATTTAAGCTTCTTCAATTTCTTACGTCCAGAAGTTTTATCCATGTAGTCAACTACGGGCCTACGAAGTCGGATCATCCTAAGCGAATGCGACTGTGGATTAAAATGGCATTTAGTATTAGTGTGTCATCAGCTCTCTCATATCTTGGAAACCTGCACAACAAAAGCTACAGAAAATAAATATATATAATGTATTACACATTATGGTCCAGAAATGTTGATCAATTTAAAACTTACCTTGATCCAACTTCACGTGTGACCAGGTATAATTGAGCAGAGCGAATGTATTGAGGTGCAATGGCACCAATGAATGTAACTTCGTCTTGAGCCGGGAATCTATAATGATTACCCAAGGTCTGAGAAACCCAAATGCCACCAGGAGCATTGATCTCATAACGAAAAAACTCGCATGGATTGTCCAGGTTGGAGATCGGGATCTGGATGCCATGCACTACTAGGTGTGGTGCTAATGAAAGCATGTGTTGTTGGCCTAGTTGAGTCAAGAGGCCTACCAGCATTATGGACATAGTGACACAAATTGAAGTAAGTGGTCTCGGGAGTGTTTTCTTCACGTCTTGCTTCAAGTCCATGAACAAAGACTTGTTGATAGGGAGTCAAGTCCCAACGGAACACATACCTCCTTGTATTTTCGTCATCTTCACTGCTTCTGTAGATGATATCAGGAAGAGGTGGATTTCCTGGAAGGCGACAATTTACGTGGTAAACTTGTTCCACCAAAGCTTGGACTCCTAAAATCTCATCTTGATTCAAAGGCTGTGCATAGGCTGCTGCAGCCCCTCTCCATGGTGAGTTTGGAGGGATTGACATCTGTCGCTTCAGAAGGAATAAGGTACTTCTAAATGGATGGATGTGCAAGTCCAAGAGCTCAGGTAATTAAGATGATATATTTTCCCTCCAATCCTAATCATAGGGCATACTTAATCAAGTTGGTCAATATTAAGAAAAGATTGTTACTCCCTTCGATTTTAATTACAGGGCAAAGTTTTACAATATTATTTGATGCTAACTAAAGAGTAAAAATGTAGTGGTTACATTTTTACCTATATTTCCCTTCCTTAGCTGTACCAAGTTATAATTCCTGGACATATCATTAATTTTAGTGATGGCGAAAATTTAAAAAAAAGGCACTTATTTTTTAATTAAATTAAGATATGTGAATTTTTTATATATTATTTATTCTATATCAAAATCTTATTATTAATATTATTAATATGTTATAATCAATTTGTCTTGATTTAATTGGATAAAAGTATATTACGTATATAATGCTAAGTACATAAATCTTACCCTTAAAAAATCAAATATTTTTTACAATTTTAAGGTTATTAATTATCATTCCTTAAAATCCATAAGTTTATAGATTTTTTCCTATAATTAGAACTAGAGAGCATATCATTAGACTTATTAAAAAAATTATTAACTTTCCAATTTTGTCCTTCTTTGCATTCATACCATAATAAATTATTGTTCTCTAGAAATTCAAAGTACTGGCAAAAATTTTTTGCAGTTAACAATGAAAACACCCAATTCTAAATTTCTAATAAATATAATTTGGCTCTCAATAATAAATAAATGGTAAAATGAAAAAAAATCACTCCAACTTTGCCATATAATATGGACCAATATATAAGAGGTGTGAATGTTTATTCTATAATTAGGAGAGGAAGAAGTGTATTTAAAATCACTCCAACTTAGGTAGCGTTGGAATTGATATATTTAAATATAAATTTTTGATTTAAAATTTTACATTTAAAATTCATGTGTTAAAAATCCTTTGCTTGGATAATGTAACAAATTTTAAAGGTAAAAGAAAGACCATCTAAGATTTGAACCAAAAATGAAAGATTGAGAATAACAATCTTATCTTTATTTTTCAACCAGTGTGAGACCAAAACAATATATGAGAGGAGAGATGAGAGTAACAAACGAATAGTTAAAACGTGAAGAAAATGATATGATTGAAGTAGATAAAATTTCAAATAATTAGAATTTAGAAGAAATTTAAAATTACAAATAAATTATAATAAAATATGAATATGAATTTGGATTTACTTTTATGTATCTAAATGAAGGATTTAATTTAAATCTAAATCTAATTTCAAATCCAAATGCTATTGGAACTAGACCCTAGATGTGCTTGGAGACGCAAATAAATTCCTAGATGTGTTTTGATTAACTAATAACTAGAGCCCAGATATTCTTATTCCTTTTATTTAAAATAATTAATTTATAATTAAACTATATATCTTAATTTAATTAAAAAAACGTTTCAATCGTGGTGCCACTATTAAATTTTGCATCACCAGTGTTTAAAACCTTGTATGTATGTAAAACCAAAAGCATGCATAGACTCTTATATAATATATTTAAAAAGAGAGGAAAAAATCATGATAATACATACTCTTTTCATTCTCACACACACACACATATATAAATCATTTTTAAGTGTCTATCCAAAATTTACGAAAGATAGTTAAATTATCCATATTGTCCAGAAAAGAATAAATTTCTCATCTTACCCTTATTAAATGTAACATCTTTAAATTTTTTTCCCTCTCATATGTAATATTTTACTAATTTAAAGTTATAAAAGGGTAAAATTAAAAAAAAATACACTTTTTTATACGAAGTAACTTACAAAAATGATCATCACTTTTTTTTAGTTTTTAAAGTAACTTATATTATATAAAAGCGAATGAGAGTTTACTTGCATGTTTCGTCTTCCTTATTTCATTGTTACCAAAATTACAACTTTTACTATTAATGAAAAAACATTTTTCTCACGCCGTTTTTCTTTCCAAACGCAAAAAAATAAATCAGAAGCAACTTTTTTTTTCATGTATTTAAAAATAAAAATAAAATAATTTTAAATTAAATATTTTAAAAAACAACTAATTAAACAAGTTTTTTGCTTTTAAAATTTAAAAATAAAAACTGTTTTGAAAAATAACAAACTAGCAGTTAAGCATCACTACCTCCATTATTCCTTTTTATATGGCAAAACTTGAGAATGTACTTATAGATTCTGCAAGTACGCTTTATAAATCCTTCTATAATTATTTTTACTAATTAATGAAATATTTTCAGCATAATTTAATTCTCATTAATTTTAATTTTAAAATTTTCAGTTATATAATCTTATGTTATGTAAAATACCGCATTACACAAGTAATAAATATTTAAAAAACAAAGAGAACTCTCATAACATGCACAGCAAACCAAAGTTTGAATTCTCATTAGAAAAGATATCCACATATTTAATACCAAATCATGCCTTAAACAAGGTCACTTTCAAGTATGAGCAGTAAAAAAAAACAGAGAGAAATATAATGAGAATTTGTTAACGGGATTACATATAACTGTTAACAAGTATATATATTATATGGAAAGTAGCAGCAGCAACAAGAAGAACAAAAATCTAAACATAAAAAGAAACCCAATTATGCAGAGATTTCAATGTCATCACCTTTTTCATGCAGAGATTTCAATGTCATAGAACATAGAAGCCTCCTTTAATTTTCACTAATGACTAGAGAAAATGCAGGAAAGAGCACTGATTCAAGCAGAAGCTCGTACGAACTTTTGTAGTGATCAGTGAGCAATTGGTACCGAAGACATGCATTATAGATGACAGATATTTAAAGAGACCATTGATGGCATTCTTGACCATCAAAATTAAAAATACTAATAATTTAACAAAGTCTTCTAAAATATTTATTTTTTTAATGGGATGAGATGCCGGACGCGTTACAACTACTCAATTATTGTCCTTTTGTGTATGCTTGTCTTACCTTTTTCATAAATGATAATTTATATATTTTTATTTTTTTAATTTAAATTTTTAAATATTTATTTAAGATTAATTAAATTTAATTAGATATTATTTAATTTCATTAGCCAATATTAAATTTTAAAATTTAACTAACTAAATTTCTGATTTAAAAAAATAAAATGATATCTTTAATATTTATATACAGGTACTATTTAATTTTATTTTATTTGTGTAGATTTTTTAAATTCAATTTAAAAGATATTGTAAAGTAAAGATTATTTTGGATAAAAGAATATGGACGGAGATTAATTTTAAGAATTAAATATTTAAAATTTGTTTATATTTATTTTGAGTCTTTTAGTATAATATTTAATTAGGATTATTAAAATAGTCTGATCATTTTATTAAATCATTAAGTGTTATTATAGGAGGAGACGCACGCTGCTTGCATCACCTGATAGATTATATATCAATAAAGGAAGGAATGTAGAGGAAAGAGATGACTCGGACCAAAAAAACCAAAAGAAAAGAGAAAAAACAGGGTAGCAGCGATTGCAGTTTACTTTTTCTTCAATTTCTCCGATGGCACGTCAATTTATCATCTCATATTGCTTGATTTTTAGTTATATGAATAGTTAATTTTTTTACTGTAATCAAATACAAATTATAATCCTAAATTTTAATCAGAATCTTTGATATTTAAAGAAGATTTTATTTTAGCTTTATTTCAATTTTCTCTTCTTTTCTTTACCTCTAAATTTTATGCTTTAGTTGCTATTATTGATTAGAATAAATTATTACATAATTTTGAGTTATAAATTTTATATGAGATTTTACTTGCTATAATTGATTGATATGTAACTTAAGAGTAATTTGGCTTGACTTGAGTAATTACTCATGCTTTATTTTTGGTGTGGCTAACATACAATAGTTGTTAAGTTGTGGGTTAAGGAAAGATTTCAATTAATATATATTTAATTTCTTGTTAATTCTTGAATGAGAATTTAAGAAATTTATAATAAAACTAGAATAATAAAGTTAAATAAAATTAAATTAATTTGTGGAAGAGGATGATTAAGTTTAAGTAATTGGATTGTAATTGATTGCACTGCTTGTTTTTGATAATTTTCTTAGTTGAATTTCCTTTATTTATTTAATTCTAATTTAGTTTTAATTTCATCATAAAAAAACCCTCCATTATTTACCTTTTATATTCATAATTCAAATAGTTATTCTATTAACTCTTAAAGAGACCTAGGTTGCACTTTACTGTAAAATTTAATTTTTATTAATTTTGATGCTATTCAACAGGAGTGTCAAAAATTTGACGCCATTGCCGGGGAGTCAAACGTGTTAACTTTTTAAATTAGTTGTTAATTTTTTTTTCTTTTTCTCATTTTTTTGAATTTTCTAAAATAAATTTGGGTGCTATTTTCAATTTTTTTTTTTCAAATTTTAGGTTATTTTTCATTTTTTCCTAGATTAATTTTTTGATTTTTTTTCCTTATTTTTTTAGGTAGTTTTCTTTTATTTTTATTTTTTAGTGAGGATAGGGTGCACCAAAAAAAAAATTCATTATTTTGATCATATAGTTGAGAGGACTTTGTGTTTCTTTGTATTTTCCTTTAGCTTGAGTGATTCTATTTTGACTGTAGAGATGGCTTGAAATGATTATCATCTTGATACTAATTTTTCTCCATTCATACTTTATCATGACACTCATAGTTTCAAAAGGAAAATTGATGAATTGATTTATACTGTTAAACAAATGCTTGCTGAATAGGCAATGGCACAACCACTTGAATTAGCCCCTTACCATCCTCATTATTAACCCTTTAGGAGTTCCTCGACATATAATGAGCAATGATCACACTACCATTCGCACCATCATTTCCACACCTATCCTTAAAAGAGTACCCCAGCTTTTGTCCAACAATACCCCTATATGCAGGCTAATGATGTGCTTGAGACTACACAGCCTCTACAACCAATAAGCCAACCCATGCCGACACTTAAGTCTAATGAGGGGAGTAGTTTTGAAGTTATGAAGAAGCAAATATTAGAGAATTTCCTAAGATTCAGAAAATAGTAGACCAAATATGCTCCCTACTAGAACAAGTACAAGAAGACTCTCTATCTGTAATGATATAAATGAGGACATTGTTGTTGAATTTCCTAACAATGATGAGTCCAAAATCACTAAACCATATTCTAGTGGTACTGATGAATTAGGTGCATGTAAGAGTGGCTTTAAGATTGATATATCCCCTCCTGATTCTATTGACCCTTCTTGGTCTAAAG